TTGTTTAGTCGACGACCGAATAACCAACGATCTCCAGTCGTTTTATAATTTAAGCGTCGTTCGCTCGAAACGCCGAATTGCACGAGATTCTTCCCAGACGTTCCGACGGATCGACGTCTACTCGGGTTAATTATGCAGTGTCTCCGCGACTGGGTGGTAGCAAGCAGCCATGTTCACGGCATATTTGAACAGTTCCCCGCTGCTTACCCCGAATCTTGGGATATCTTTTCGAGAGCTTCTCCTTAGCGACGTGTACAGCACAAAATGATTGTTTAACGCTGATACACGCCGCGCGGAAATATAGTTACACAAAAGTGAATTTTTCACCCATGCTGTTGCAATCAAGTCTGTCCAGTGAATTGGAAAAGTACATTTGTACCTTTTTAGAATATCTTCGTCTTTCTCGCCTTGAATTTCTTTATCTTACATGTGTATGTAATATCTTTATCGTGAACTGTATCGTTTTTTTTTTTTTTTTTGTTGAGAGGAAGAAGAGTGTTTTTGACGATTAACATCGAGTTTGATCCTGAGAATTTTCAATCTACGGAGAATCATTTGTTTGGAGAGTATTACACCATGATTTTCGTTGACGTGAATCGTAGCGTGTTTTATGGTACAGTTGGCGTACGGATACGCTGCGTAGTTGATATAATTTTTTAGAAATTTTATTTTGCATATTATAAATGTATACACATTTATTATATTTTTGTTAGAGAAAGTTGGAGAAAAGTAAATGTTATTAAAATAATTGCAAGGAAGAGAAAATACGGAATAAAATCTCTTACTTTATTCCTGATTTTATAGATTATATCTATTAAGTTTTTAACGATGTTAAATGTAATATTCCTCTTAAATTTCCTTTAAAATTAAGTTAAGATTTGATTTTATCTTTTTGTAATTTATAATTTTTAAGATCGGGCAATATTCTTTATTTATATTTTTATGCCGAATTCTTCACACATATTTATTTTATTCTGGCTAACAAATACTTATACTATTCATACGTTTTTTGTATTACATTTATTTATTAAGTTTGTTGTAAACAAACTAGACACTCATACAATATTGATTAATAAATGAATTCACGTATAACTAAATTAGCAAATATTAGCATTGTTCGATAACAAATTGGATGGAATTATACGGAAACCTACCAGCCCTCAGAATGACAAAAAATTAATTAAACACAGTACGGATCTCATAATTTTACGATCTTTATTTTGCAAGAAACTTTGCAATTCATAGAATGATTCTCACATTGTAAAACCATAACTCTAGACTTGTTTATTCGCTGTATTAATATAATTTGTACTGTCTATGCTAGTTTACTACTAAACAAACTCATTAAAGAAACATTGTAAAGCAAGAACAAGAAATAAAATAGAAGTCGAGCTTTCTTTTTCTTAAATTAAAATCTTCACTTCAACCTGTATCACTTACTGTTAAACAGATCGTTAAAATACGTCACAAAGAAAAGAACAAAAGAAATGAAATACATCAAATGGAAATGAAACTTCTTTTCTTCCCTATTCAATTAAAGTTCCTCAATTCGAGATTTACTCAATTCCGGGTCATTGATGATTGGTAGCTTTCTGCATAACTTGTAATTAGTTCGCTGCACATCTTATCGCAAAGTTATGGAATATTGCTCCTCGAGAAGAAAAAAAAAAAAAAAAAAAAAAGAAAGAAATCTCTTCTCACAAACGTAAGGCGAATTCGAAACTCGGGCAAAGACTTCTTGGAGTCTGACCGAAGTAGAAAGATCCCTGTCTAAAGAGGTAAACGCAGCTCATTCGAAACTTGGACCGATCAAGATACGTCGGATGCAGACAACTTCTCTCTCGGTGCCACTGGAATCCTCTTTAGTTCCCCTGGCTGGCTCCGTTTGAATGCGAGCGACGACCGAACTGTTCGGCTTTAGCCTCAGCTTTGAAACTCCCGCTCGTAATCGACGTTGATGTTTAATTTCCAGAGGACGCGAGAAATGGATTTCCCTCGTACGTATCAATTATTTCGACGAGACCTGTTTGCGCGCGGCTGTATCGATTTCCCGTCGTTTCTCTCTCGCGGCCGAAACGAACGCGAGGTTCAACGCTGCGCTCCAAGGCCGAGAATGAAATTACCATCGTGCTAAAATATCCGTTGCGAGGCTGGCTGGCTGGCGAAGTCGGTAGCTAGACAGAAGCTCGCACATCGTCACCGAGCCACCTGAATTACGCTTGTCTCGTTGCGCCGTGATAAACACCACTTTTCGCTCGAGCTTTATCTCCTGCAGTCGCGACGAGGGCCACTCTGCTCGCGCCTACGTTAACTTACTCGCGTTCTACCCTTCGCGGGTAGCGAATTTACGCGACGAAACTTCACTTCTGTTCGGTTGCAATTTTTCAAAGCTAGTCTTGCTAGTCTTTTGGGTTCAAACAAAACGTTCTGTTCGAACCTGCGTGTTTGCTGTTAATTTTTTTTGCAGAAAGAGGCATTACACTTTCGAATAATTGAACTTTTTATAGTTGTTAAGAGCGTAGAACGTGGTTTTAAGTTTGTTGTATGAAAATTTTTACACCAATCGTTTAATCGATTGCAATTCTCGTTGCAATTTCTTATTGAACTTGACAGTTTTTTAAAATTATAGCTTTGAATTTAATTGATGGCAGTGTTGGCAGTATTTGGAAGTGTGTGGTTAGAACGTGAGTTTAAATTTCTTGTAAAAATTTGTACAATATATTTACAAAGATTGCAATTCTTGTTGCAATTCTCTATCAAAGCGTTTGGTATTTTTTTTTAAATTGGGCAGCGTGATAGTATCGAGTTGAAAGTTCATAGTTATACTTTCAGTTAAAGTTAGTTCTAGAATTTTTTCAAAAAAATTTTCCACGAAAAATATAATCAACTTTCGTTTCTTCTTCATTTCATCTTCACTTGCCGCATAAGGTATTGAGAAACGTACACAATCACTCTCATAATTAGAGATATTACACGTGTATTTTATTTTATAGATTCTCATCTTTAAATCATCCTCAAGTCTAACTCTGTTCTCTCAACTTATCCAAAGAAAACCTAACCCAAGTACACATAAAAAAAAAAAAAAAAAAAAATAAATACGAAAAGCACGTTGAACGATTCCCGTGTGTGTATCAAGCGTCTCGCTGTCCGAGCACCTAATTTTCAGTAATAACACGCGAAAGGAAAAATGCAAACTTCTGGCTGGCTTCTCTCGGCAAACAAAAGATTCTGGCTGTGCAAACAGGTCGAAGAGGAGCCTCGAGATACGCAGTGGTATAATGCTATGACATTTTTCTGGTTACCCGGTTTGTACCGAGCGAGCCGGCTCGCAATGGTGAAAGTGAAAAAGGAAAGAATCGCGGTTTGCGCACGGATCCTGTCCAGCTTGTGGCTGTGGGAGTACCAGGGGGGGTTGGTGAACAAAACGAGAATACGGCCGAAACCACCCGGGTTTTATTGTCTATTGTCTTGGTAGAGTTTCGCGGGAAATTTTTGCCAGGAATTTCGTATGCGTATTTCGGCTGGTTGGCCGCGTCCTCGTTTACCTGACCATGGTGCGGGGGATCATTCTAATTGGCCAGCCAGTCGAAGCAGAATTTTATGTTTATCTGCTCGTCGCAGTTATTTCGCATCGTTTACCGGGACTAGTCAAATATTTTTCTGTAAACTGTCCTTTTCTTTTTTCCAAAGAAACAAAAAAAAAAAAAAAAAAAAAAAATCGCAAAAATGCGGGTGTATCCTGTAGTTGTAATAATTGGAGTTTGTCGACATGATGCGGGAATAATGAGAGATTTATTTTATGAAAGAAATACGAACCAGGTTTCTTTTTTAATTTCTTTAATTTTTTTCCATTAAATTTATCTTGTGCATTATTTTTTACTATCTCGTGCAATATTATATAATATCGCACATAACCGTATGTTACATCAGATACATTTATATCTCCATTGATCTCGATCTTTTCAACGATTCTCTGTCTCAAATGAAATGTAAAATGAAGCGACGCGTTCCTCTTTCGCAAATATCGTTTCTTCGTACAATACGTACATTTTCACTGTTGCATTTGTCGCTCGTTCCTTGTTATTCTACTTCGTCATTCTATACTTGTCGCCGTTTCTTTTTATATTACTTTCTCTTACGCGTATCTTATCTTTCCCAACCTTCTCAAATAATAATTGAATTCTTATATTTCAAATTTCTCTCGAGATATTAACCACAAAAGTCGATCATTCCGAGAACAAACCGTGCACTCTTCAGTCATCCTGATACCGCCGCGCAGTAAATGGAACCAGAGTACTCCTCGAGTACTCCCGCGAAGAGCCAAAGCAGACATTTACGAGCGCTCGATATTCTCGTCCTCGGTACCGTCAGTATCTCCGTCAAAGAAACGGCGCACGTACATTGCATCTCGTTATCTGTCCACCCAGCCTCCCCCAGTTTCATTCCACCGGCGAGAGACAATGGGCATCGATCGGGACACGTTATCGGTTAATTGTTCGTCTCGTAGACGCGCTGACTCATTCCAGGAGGGAGAGAAGCTCCCCTTTTTCCAGTCTGGACTCGATTGCCGTCGTTTCGGCGTAACGCGAACGAGACGTCGACCGGATCGTCGACACGAATCGAAGGGGAAACGTCGGCTGGGTCGAACACCAGGGGGGATTGTATCACCCCCGGTAGACCATCAACCGGCCGGTAGATCGAATAATAATCCGGGAATTCCAACGCTGCGAGCGTTCTGCTCGTCGCGGCAGTAGGTCCTCCGATATTCTTCTCGTTATTGCTGTATATATCTCTGCTGGATCGGTCTACGTGGCGTCCTCGTGATCCGTAAAAATGGGACGAACGAAGTGGGGTGCCGTTTTATTTACCGTCTCTCTCTTTTTCTCTTTCTTCGTTGTTCGGTCGTAGAATCTTGGCGAAATCCAAATCCGAATGATCCATCCTAGGATGCCGCGCGTAAAGGATAGCTTTAGTCAACCATTTTCTATCTATTGTTGCAGAGTGTTCGATACCGAGTGGCGGAAAAAAGGGGAAGCCATTGTGTACGGGGACGTGGATTGTTTCTGCACCCCGGCGCTACGAAACGTGAGTATTATCGGCCATCTTTCTTTTTCTTTTGTTTTCTTAACATCGTTGAAACTTGATTGAAACTTGTCCCAATGGCTAGTGTTACTCGGATGAGACGCATAGCGTTGAGATATGAGATCGTTTTCAATTTAGGGTATTTCCACGTTGGGAAGATAGGCCAAAAGGAATTTTTTTTTTTTTTTAGTTTGACAATTCTTCAGGTATATTTCAACTTGGTTAATACCAGAAAGAACATATTGAATCGACGGTTCTACGTACAAAGACAAATGAGAAACAAACGTAGATCAAGATTTTTCTATTTAAGGCATTCGTTTTCAAGAACACAGAGATCGGACATGTTCAATTCAGAGTTAGCTTATTACGTACGACACGGTTTGATAGCGTGATGAATATACTGTGGATTTTTATATTGTATTTGTAGGAAAAGCGTATAATATGCAAAAATGTATAAATTATTCAAAATATACAAATTATTAGAATATGGATTTCCTCTGATGGTCACAAAGGTATGAAAACGCTTGAAAATTCACAGCCCAATGATGAATCGGTATATCGTAAAGGTTTTTCGATTACGTCGGTTCGAACAGTACCATTGGCATAAAATATTAAAGGCAGTAAATACATTTATAATTAGCAATAACCAATATTTATGAATTATTTAGATATCAGTATTTGTAATGTATGTATATTACGAGCAATAATAAAGAATGAATTATTGGGAATTGAGATGGTGGTAGTCGACTGTGATTGGCTCTGCTTTATTATGTCGACAGACACATAAAAGTAAATCTATCATCGAAAATTCTGTAGATAATGCAGTATTCCTATCGTTTGCTAACTTCACAGTTCTGTGTTGCACGTGTTATGAAATATGCGTTACTATTTCATATGAATAGCATCGAATATACAAATAAAGCTTGTTCTTTACGACAAATATATATTATTTACATGCGTATTTACTTCTTGCATTTTAATTTCTTTGATGCAACAGAACTACTCTTCACTTTTGTAGTTTTGTTGTTAACCTGTTTTTCGTTGTGAATCAGACTTGTTTGTTTATTATGAAAAATAGAGAGTTGAAAAGTGAGAAATCAAGGACGGATTAATTAAGCTGCAACGAAATATCTGACCTGATTGTATTAATTTTCTAATGAACGTCTCTATATTTTTCTTTATAGTAGCAGTCGTTGATTTCGTTTGAAAATTATAAAAGTCATTGATTTTACTTTGAAAGTTAAATGCAGATTCCGGAGAGCGGCGCGCTTATCAACAAGATGTACATTTTCATTTTAAAAAAGAGGCAGAAGATTTTTACTCGGAATATTTCTGCGGGACATAAAACGTGTCACGTATCTCTGATTTTTAGCTTCAAGTGCCTCTGAGAGGACAGAGGCTGGTTACACGTGAAATTCTGAATTTTTATTTTTCAGTCGAAATGAAAGAGGCAAGAGAGAGCGAGAGAGAGAGAGAGAGAGAGAGAGAGAGAGGTCGTCGGAATATGAAAAAATTTCGGCGCAGGTTCGTTAAAATCGCGGGCACACGTGATTTTACGCGCGGGTCTCACGAGTCAACATTTCGACGCAAAGGATTACGTGGAGAACAAAAAGTGGGAGAGGGGTAAAAGAACGAAGGGAGAAAAAGAAAACAAGCGGAAGCGACGTTAGTCTTTTTCACCGGACGACCGAAACCGGTAGTTTTTAACACGTTCCGCAAACTGCCACTCGATTTTTCGACTCGCGCAGACGCAAATATCGGAGAGCAAATGTTTATTTATTTGTTATGAAGTTAGAGCTCGCGGAAGGAAAGTAAAAATTCCGGGAGGAAAATTGGCATGCGTGAAATATCCACTTTTATTGTTTCAATTCTACCAAACTCTTTTCTTTGCGAACGAAAAGTATTTTGACAAATACGCATGTTACAGTGCTCGTTAGCTCGTTCGTCGTTCGGTTAAAATGGTAATGGCCCGAGGAACGAGCCGTGCGCGGTAGTAGAAAATTCTGAAGTTAGAATGACTGGAGGAAAATGGCGGATGGTGTTTAACTCTTTAATCCGGTCGCTAATTCGCAGCCGGGAGAGCGGGATGGTATTGAAACGTTTCCCAGACGGGAGCAAGTTTCCTAAGCCGTTCTAAGCGATCCAATTGTGTTACTTTAATCGAACTGAAGAACTCGATTCCGAGTAGTACTTAGGTCCGTACAGTTGCTAGAAACGCATTACCCGGAAAGGGATCCTCTCCCGGCTGGCAAACACTCTTGGGGGCTCGGTTGCTCGCAATAAACTGGCACTTTGGTCCGACGACCGCCGTCGCTCCGCTTCTCGAACCGTAACTCCAACCGTATTTTCTCTTCGTTCTGCCGCGCTCCGCGGCTAAACGCGAATAAAAATATCGAATAAACGCGAGAAACGTTCCCTCAAAGGGAACAGGAGCCGCGAAAGGGAAAAGTTCTTGGTGACACTGGGACAATAGAGGTTCCGGTCTCGTCCTAGAGAACACACAAAGGAGAACTCGAGATTTTTACAGGAATGGTTTATTTCCGTCATTCGCGGAGCGAAGTTACTTTTCCAACGAAATATTATATATGATTTATTATTAACGATATGTCAGAATATTGGCTGATTTCAGAATTACAGTCAATTACAGTCAAAATGTATAAAATTGTTTGGAATGAAATTATTTTCCAACGAGAGATATCGAGATATTTATATTTGGAAGATATTGGTTAATTTTTAAATGACGGTTAGTTGAGATGAAGTTATACCATTGACTAGAGATAGAATAGACCGGACAAATGAACTTTGTTTATTTTAAATAATAAGAATAATTGATACACACTGGTCTTCTGTACTGTTATATCTTCTATACTATATTATTCTACGGTATACAATATTTATACCACGCTGAATTCTACACTTCACTGGATTCTATACTATGCTGACCTTTTCGATAGTTAAATCTGCATTTATATTGATATTCACACACACATGTATTCTCTTTTTGTCTCTCTCGTACTCTGGAAACTACGTACTATCTTTAGGACGAGGCACGATAGTATCCTGCAACCCATAAACTGTGTCTGGGTTTTTCTATAAATATTCATTAATTCTAAAGTAACATTTAGTTAAAATAAAATTACTTTAGAATTTATATCAGGACAAAGTTAATTTTGAGCAGAAATATTGAAGTATTGATTTATTTTAAAATAAATTGATTCTTTGAATATTAATCTTAGAATTTGTAGACCAAATTATTACATTTTAAAATAAATCGAAAATATTGAAAACAAGCGTGAAGGATCGTTAAATATCGTGTGTATAATAATTTTGATTCGTCTATGAAATTATGTCTCATACTTCACATAGACTTGAACTTCAGCTGAAACGAGTGGTTCAAGAAAAAGAATAAATACGAAATAATAAAGAATAGAAATCGCAAGAAAGAAACAAATGAGACGTAGAAATATATTCTGTAAAAGATACCACTGAACTTGAGACAATTTAGAGATCTACCTATTTTATTTATTCATCCGGTCATGAATAAATAAAACTTCCATCGAAATAAGAAATCGAAACTTCAGGGAAGCGATACAAACAAGTATCTTGCGACAAAAGATGTCACAACAAAAAGACTAAAGATTGAACTTTAATCCGTCGGTCTTGTTTCACTTTACCACCTTACTGAAAAAGTACAAATCGAGACTGCAGAAATTATGGAATGAACGAATACACAGGAAGAGATTAAACAAAAAAAAAACGAACAAAGAGATAGAGAAAGATCGTGGTCGCACGTGGGTTGGAACAAATTGGGTAGGAATTCTCGCAACAGAGGAAAGCGGGGAGTTGAAGTGCCTCTTTCGAGGTTAGCTCGCCTGGCTCCCCTATACGTGCCGAGGGTTTGCACATACGTGGCGTGAAAGAGGTCGCGCGGTGAGACGCGTCACGAGGTTGCGAAGGGTGATTCGTCAAAGATAAATCGTCGCGGGCGGTGCGCGCGAGTAAAACCGGAGGAGAGGCGGCGAAAATTCGGGCGGCCGTTTGATGTCAGCGGCACCTCCGCGCCGCGTCGACAAAAGCACCAGGTGACTGATAAGCGAGGCTAACGCGAATTTTAACGCGTTGCCTGAAATTGAAGCGGTTGTCGATCACCGGTGAACGTTCCGCCAGTGGCACAGCTGGTCCCGGTTTAGGTAATCGAGAGCCATTCGAGCGACAGCGCTCGTCAATCTACAGGGGGAGGAGAGGGGGAGGGTTCTGCTGTGATCGACGATTTCGTTAAATCGTCTTTCCGATTGCTTGCTTACCCTTTGAATTTTTTATCGTCAATCCGTCAAATTCCCGATTTCACGATCATAGGCGATGATAGGGAAATTAGGGTGATACGTCAGGGTGATAGAAAATAGAATAATAGGGTACGCTCGAGTTGGATAAAAGTTCGTAGCTTTAGTAATTGTAAGATACAGTTTTATTGTATACTACGTGAAGCATCGTTCGTTCGAACGAATGCGTACGATGTAAAAATGGTTTGACCGACATGCGCGATTCGTCGTTTTGATTTTATGAATTTTCTTTTTATTTTGTTAAAGCAAGAGCAATAATATAAAAATTCGAGTGCCATGGCAGCGTTGAAAAACGTGTGTTTACGCGCTTCAGGATTGGGAAAATAATGAACATAATTGGCTGCCAATTGGTAGCAATTGTTAGCAATTACGTTTAATTTTAGCTGAACGCATGCAAGAATCTGTTCAAAATTGCGGTTCGTTTTTAGTCGATTTAATTTGCTGGAATAATTGAATTAAATTATATTATTCTATTATTAACACTGGAACAATCGACGATCTGTAACGTAGATCTTTTTAATGAAGAAACTAAAATGCAAAAAAATAAGAAGAAAATTTATAACACAGTAAAGAACAGAAAATTGTATCGATATATAGCGTTTTTAGAAAAGTTTCACAAGTTTATAAATTTATCAAAGTTCTATGAATTGATTATTTTGTCCA